CCCCCGCATGATGTGAAAAAGAATGGATGGTAGGTGTAATGACTGTAACCTCTTAACAGTTATGGTAAGTAAATAAATGCTTCTGAGCCTTTTAAATGTGGGTAGACTGAAGAGAAAAAAATAGTCATTATGCAGAAAAATTATATTTTAAAATGCTGTTCTAGGGTAATTTTTTATTCAGAATGAGGAAAGATGTCAGAGAAATTATGCCTTTGACTAAAACAAAAAATATGAAGTTTTAAATCATTTCACCTCCCACATTGAAATTCACCAAAAGACATTCACAAAGAACTTATATTTAAAATCCTAGTGTGGGTGGCTAAGTGTTCATAGTGTATTGTCACTGTTATTGTAGGTGGGCATTTGAATGTAATGACAGAAAATGCTAAAGGAAATTAGAACTTCAAAGGATACCATTGAATTAGTCATCAAAAATTAGTCATCCAAATGACCAATGTTTCCTTTTAAATTTTATAATAATTACAGCCAAATAAAGAAGGTTATCTAAACTTTGTTTAAAACTCCACTTGGAGAACCAGAAGGCAGAGCTCAGGTCTGTTTCACCAGCACAAAGTGAGGGGAGGGAGGCTCTGGAAAGGAGAGCCCCAGAGGGGAAGCACCAAATTCTGCATATTCTTCCTACATCTCTGGATGACTCTGAACTATGCGTGTGTGAGGCAGATGTAAGCCTCCCAGCTAAGGCTGAGGGGGGATGAACAGCCCAAATAATTATCTGTTGAACAGTAACAACAATCAGCCTCTTTGGAGGAACTTAGCTGAATTTGGAATCTCTACATCCTATTACTCAGATGTCTAGGATACAAATCAAAATTACTAGACACTGAAGAAAGAGGAAAACATGACTCATACTCAAGAGAAAATTAATGTTGCTCAACCACAGAGAGAAATAAGGGAAAAATCACTAGCTGCTTTGAACAGATGTTTGGAGATGACAGAAGAATCAGGGAAACCATGAGACAGATCAACAGAACAACCCAATCTGCAGGTCTGAGAGAAAAAAAGAAAACAACAAAAAAGACAGCTTCTAATCATCGTGTATACTATCAAGAGGTGTAATGTATAGATTTTATTGGTATTCAAGAGAAAAAATGGGGACATCTCCCCTCCTCCTTCCAGGGAGCCTCTTTATTGGGACATCCCAGCCACAGGGCCGACGGGGAGGAGCTGCCTGTGTGAGGTTTGGGGCGCTGGAGAGGGGAAGTTGTCCTCGTTACCCAACGTGGACAGAACCAGAGAATATGACATCACTTTCAGCTTCATTTTTACCTGTAAACTAAAGAGAGTGTCCCTACTTAGAGAGGGTATAAGGACTACATGAGAAACTGCATTGAAGGTTTTAGCACAGTGCCTGGCATCTATGGGACCTGGTGTATCTTCTTTTGTACACTCTCAATTTTTCAACCTGTCATTGTAAAAATGTTTACTACTCATTATCTAATGGAAAAAATGACATGCTTAGAAAAAGACGTAAATCTATTGTTTTATTTCCACAAATATATCCTTTTTCTTTTTTTTAATCTTACGAAGTTTGAAAACTTGCTCCGAGTTTTTCTTTTATATTTTCTTAGACTGCAACTATGATAGATTTGGTAATAATCTTTCTGTATCATTTCAGTTGCTTCTTGAAAGAAAACCTGACAAACAATAACAGGGCTTTTTCTGGCTACTGTGAGTAGAAGGTTCCATCCAGCAGGGCTGGCTTTGCCTGAGGCCTGACCCAGGCTGACTGTCTCACTAAGAGCCCCAGGCCTTCACCAGGTGTCTGGGCAAGATTCCCACGATTCTGGTCAGACATGACTCAGCCAGAGAACCCTTGCTCTGAATTTCACTATTAGAATCAGAAAGTTAGTCGTTAATCAGACCAGTGGAAACTCCCAACTGGAAATGAGGGACCGTGGGAGGTTAGAGAGACCAAACTATTGTGAGAGAACTGAGTTGGGCCTCTGAGTAATGACTGATCTACATTACACTTTTGTTGAGGATTGGCAGTTTAAAACTAAACACGAGGAAGGCAGTAATGGACGAATTTGTAGTGGGAAATTTAAGTTCATAATGATTAAGTACACTAATTTATGGTAGGAGTATTAGGATATGAAAATGTAAATGGTTTAAACCATCTCTTCCACCAATTATGTGTGGCTGTCATCATCTTTCCTTAAAATTCCATAGGTTCCTCTGGTCCAAATGTAGGTAATACCTACTCATTGGCTATTCCTCTCTCCTTCGCTGGAATTATTGATGGGCAGGGCCACTGCAGAAAAGGCAGCGTGGAGAGGCCATGAGTCATACACACGGAGCACACCCGATAAATCCACACACTTGAACTGACAGTATCTGAATGCCAAAACTATGCAATTTTCTTTAGGTTAATTTGTGGCAAAGAAGGAACTATAACCTAGACTTTCTTATCCTGTGGCAGAGGGATTTGA